AAAAAACACATCCAAAAGCTGCTTTACCGCGTTTTAGTCGCGTGTTAAAATCCTGCATTCGCAATTAAAAGTTTCAGTCGTAATTTGGGAGTCGTTTTTTCATCGTTCTTTAGGACGCATCCAACTCGAGTCCGAATTCGACCAATATTCTGCACAATTTTAACGCGATGATCTTCAGGCAAAGCCTTTTTGAGCATTTGCAGGTCTCTTGTCTGTGTGGCTCAGTACTTCACCAGTAATATCTTTTCCCACTGCGACAGGGCAGCAGACTGTATATACCCCCTTTTTCCTTCACATTGTATTCAAGTGATGGTAATCCCTAATAACCAGTTCAATAATTAATCATCCCAAATTGATTTGATCATTTATAATGCGAAATATAAGTATGGATTGTTTTCTTCCTTAACTCGATACCCACAGCCACTTGTTAGTTAAATTACATATTTTGCAAACAGAACTCCCCCTTTTTTTCAGTTTCTAATAAAGTTATAGAACATCTTATTTTGTTACAATATTCTACAACAGTGCAGCATTAAACACTATGGAAACAGCTAAAAGAGAGGGGCAGGGGGGGGGGGGGGGGCATGAACTTGCTTTACTTGCAGTAATTCACCTTCAAACACACAGTCACTATACTTCACAGTAAATCTTGTGAAGTGTTTGAGACGTCTGGCTAAATGAATAAGGAACTTTAACAAATGCCTGAAATATTATTAATAATAATAATTTCGGATAATATTTTATTGGAGAGTTACACAGAGTTACACTATCTGTGTCCTCAAGATTTTGCTTATTTTGCTTATTTCTGACCTCGTTTCCTGGACCGATCAGCATTTGTGCCATATTCTAGTTCTATAAATGTGCGTCTCTCGTCTCTACAAATGCAGACCCACTGTTAACAGACCCCTTTTAAAGTTAACTTATAAACAAGGACAAAGTGTTTTAAAACACCCATTAACTGTAGTGAACAGTGAGAAATTACTGACTGACTGTGGTTTTACAGTCTGAGGCATCATCGGTACCCTTTGCACACTGAACATTTTGTAAAAAGCTCCAACGAATCTGTCACTACACATGAAATCTGATAAACCGGTCTATATCCAAGGAGGTCTATTAACAATTTTTCTGATTATTTCTTCCTAAGGTGTGTATTTGTTTTCTTGTTGAATGTGCCCAGAATGTTGTGTTCAGAGACTGGGTCCAAACTACTGAACGAGTATTAGTAGGTGTTAATCTCTAAAAGAATAATAACGCAGCTATAATTTGACCCCGTTGTTGAACTGCCAACTTTCTTTTAAAATAAAGTTCCCCTGCGACTTTTGCTTTCTCCTGTGCAGGTTTGGTTGCAGTTTATTTAATCACAGCAGTAAGTATTTTTTTAATGATCTTACAAATCATGCATCTATTGCAATGGAAGTTAGCCAAATGCGTTCAAACACGTGGCGTGTTGGCTCAGACAATTTTTAAAAATATATATGTTATTTTAAGCGTATTATTGTTTTGGCCCACAAGCCCCAGTGCTATTAAAACGTGCTTTCTTTTTGTTTAGGGGAAATGCGGTCCTTCCACACACAGGAAATGCTGAAAAGGGTTTGTCTCGTTTTCCAGCACTGCAGTTATATTTGGGGCTTTTGCTATAAATCTGCCTGAAAATGCAGGAAAGACGTCGCTATTTAAATACTTTATTCTTTAATACTGTATACTATTGCACATTCTTCAGTTTGATCTTAAGAATTGCAATGTTCTCATCAGTTATCGTCACTGCACGAAAAAGTGAAGTGAAGCCCCCCAAAAAGTGTTTTTTATTCAGCTTGCATCGCCAATTTTACTTAAAGAAATACATGTTTGCGATTGCAATCAGAAAACAATATTGTCGCGAAGTTTTCCTCCATAAGAGGTGATGTTATGGTTTAAATTTAAAGGGAATACTGCGATTTGGATGTAAAATGTGAGTCAACGCTGAATCGTATCATCTCTGCACATGAGCTTCTTTGGATTTGAGTTACATTAAAGCTAATGTTCATACCAAAGGCATCACAAAACACCTTCAGCACATCTTTTTTTTAAAAAAATGACCTGCAAAAAAACACGCAATGTGTGGGGGATTGATCCAAATAGACTGCATAACGATTAACTACGTGACTTTGTTGAACGATTGTGAGTCGCATCGAAACCCGACCTGTCTTCAATAACAGAATCAAACCCGTTATCTCGCGTCCCTAACTGTGGGTTACTCCTCAGACAGAAAGGAGAGCCAACATGTAATTAACGTGTGCGCACCGCGCACCGCTTTCGCTCTGAGGTCCATGAGGTTGAGGAGCTGCGAATATTCGCAGGGAACCTCACCATCCGAATTGATGACAGGACATCTCGGGATGAGCTCGACATAAATGCAACTTACCAATCCTTCCTCCCCTTGTCCCGGGGAAGTGACTGCCAGGTCGACGCCGTTGATGTCGGACGCATTGATTTGGATGCCCCAGTTGGATTCGGGTTGCTTGAGCCAGTTCTGCAGGACGCGTTTGAAGTCTATACTCTGCCAGTGGCCAGTGCCAGAGTTAATGTCGAATTTTAAAGAGCGGATTGGTGTGTGATTCGTCCATTCTTGCCCCACTGGCTTTAGTCGCAGAATCTGCATGAAGACGGTCGTGGTTTGCTTCACTGGTCGCAGGTATATCCAGAGATGGGCTTTGACGATTTTATTGAATTGGATCTTGGGGCTGATCTTGAAGGAGCAACATTTCGGTTTGTCATCCACTTGGACACTAGGCTCAGCTTAAAACAGAAATGTTTAAAAATAGATGCACGTGAATGACACTACTTCAACATTTTGTCTCAATGCTATACAGTACAAACCGAATCAAAGGGTACGTTGTTCCAACCTGACTTAGCAATGTGCATATTCTCAGACATCAAAATAGTATTTCTACATCCCTGTGTCTTCAATTGGAAATCAAAGGGCTAAACAAAACGTGTAAACGCTGAAGCGTGAATTATGAATTCAGAAAGTGAGTTTGCCCCAAAGCAATCCATTGATCTGTTTAATAATGAGGAGCGGCGATAATATGTATAGTGTTGATGTCTCTGTCATCGTAAACTTTTTTTTAAGGCAAATCTGTCTGAATGCACACCCTTGCTTTGCACCTTTCAATATCCAACAGTTATAAATAACGGTATTTGGGTACAACATGAAGCAATTCACACAGATAGATAGCTACAGTCAGGTATACGTGTGCAACTGCGCCAATGCAGGTGCAGTCCAAAAAAGAAACACGCTTCAGAGATGACCTTCGAGCCATCATCTACTTTAATAGAAACAGCTCGAGAAAGTGTTTCAGTAAAATGACCCTCGTCTTATCTTTATGGCTGTGGATTAATCCTCCATTTCTGCAGATACAGAAGGCGGTGCGGGGCTGGGCAGCTGCAGTTACCCGTCACATGCTTTGCAGTTAAAATGACCCTAATGACACACTGAGGTCATGACACCATTTGCTCGTAGCTATTAAGTTATTCCTCTACAATGAACACTAATACTGCTATGGGACAATGGGGTCTTTCTTCCCAACTCCTTCGGGAAGAAAAAAAAGGCTGGGGGTTTTAAAGCACGTTGAGAAACAAAAGTCTTCTTTTCAGAGACACCGATGGAAAGCTAAACACGTTTAAGATAGAAGCCTAACAGCAAAGCACGTAGTTAAAACTCCTTCCGAAGGGACTCTGGTAATCCTCATTAGCTACGTTCCCTTCTTTCAATGCAATTACTCGAGGAACCGTTTGCAAAAAGGGTCCGAGGTTCACAGGGTCATCTGCAGAGAATAATAGTTATGTTTCTCCCCCAATGAACTGCCCTCTGGAACATAATTCGTCGGCACAAATGAAGTTTGTGAAAGTGTTAGATTCCCCCTTTTTTTTTATAGGTCCAGGTTATAAACGTGGTTTCCCAAGATTCGGGTGTGCAGGAACTATAAAGTGTTGCCAGTTAAGAGGTCTTTGCTTAACTCCAACAGAGCAGAGCGTGTTTGTGAATTCTTCTGAACAGCTATAACGTGAAGACATAAAGATTCTTTTTAACCCCCCCCCACCCCACCTCCTCCCTTAAAGTTTACACTTCTCGTTAAGTGAGTTACGACCTTAGTATGTTGGTGCGTATCGTAAAGGGAAGGGAAGCCCCTTTTGAAACAGGAGAGATGAAAAAAGCTCACAACCAGGTCGCGATTTTCATGGCTCATAAAAATCTCCGAACGGCCGTTTGCTTTCCAGTGCAACTGCCCCATAGCAAACCCTGCCCTCGGCCAACGGTATGAGCCTCGGTGCAGAGCAACAAACAAACAAAAAAAAACGGTGCAAAAGCAGTGGTGACGGGACAGAAACGCAAAAGGTTGCATTGCATTGCATTGCAGAGAGCAATGCACTGGATGGAGAGAGAGAAAGAGAGAGAGAGGAGAGAGAGAGAAGCAACTGAGGCGACAGCTGAGATCTATCTTATTCTCCACGCGTTTCTACTTACGCTCCGTGGCCATCGTGATCAGAGTCTCAGTTGTAGCGTGATAATCGTCGTCTTCTAATGAGGCATCGTTATTGTCATCCCCTTGAATATCATACTGATCGAGGAGTTGTTGCAGAGGAGGAGCTTTGGGGAGAAGCTGATTGACTGTATCCCGGCTGATGTTGGGTGCTTCCTTGAGGCGCAGTTTGCTCAGGATCTGCGACTTGATGGACTCCAGTCTCAGTGCCTTGTTCTCCTTCCTCCACCTGCAAGCCGAGCACTCGGACGCGTTATAGTCACTGTCCGGCCCCTTTTCGAGCGATTCGGGTTTGATATCCGTCAGGTTGGCGTGTGCACCGTCCCTGTTGCCCACTCGCCCGAGTGCACCGAAGAGAGCCAGGTAAATGAGAGCTTGTGATGTTTGCATGTTCCCAAGCCTTTCCTCCGGGATCCTCTCTGCGACTCCAGTGAAAGAAAGTGGGGGGCTGGTGGGGCTGATGGGGCTGGTGGGGCTGGTGGGGCTAGTGGTGGGCTGGTGGGACTGGTAGGGCTGGTGGGCTGGTGGGCTGGTGGGGCTGGTGGGGCTGGTGGGCTGGTGGTGGGCTGGTGGGCTGGGGCTGGTGGCTGGTGGGCTGGTGGGCTGGTGGGCTGGTGGTGGGCTGGTGGGCTGGTGGTGGGCTGGTGGTGGTGGGCTGGTGGGCTGGTGGGGCTGGTGGTGGGCTGGTAGGGCTGGTGGGCTGGTGGTGGGACTGGTGGGGCTGGTGGGCTGGTGGTGGGGCTGGTGGGGCTGGTGGGCTGGTGGTGGGGCTGGTGGTGGGCTGGTGGGGCTGGTGGGCTGGTGGTGGGCTGGTGGGCTGGTGGTGGGTCTGGTGGTGGGCTGGTGGGGCTGGTGGGCTGGGTTATGGCCAAGCGCACTGGTAAATCTCATATATTCCAACACGGCTTTTTATACCGCATCTTTGGCCACACTATTGTGTCGTAAAAATCAACGATTGGCTGCTGTGCCAACAAATAATCTCGCTGTCAGAACTCAGATTCCCCTCTGTCACTCACAGCCCGACTCGCAGTCATTATTTTCGACTCCACTCGCTCTGGTTGCGTGTGTGTCTGTGTCTCTCTCTGTGTGTGTGCGTTGTGGGTTGTGTTGTGTTGTGTTGTGTGTGTGTCTCTGTGCATCGCTCTGTTTATTCAAATGAGAGATTACTGCAAATGGCTCAAACAAAGCGGTAGATTGGAGATTCCTCCCTTTTTTTGGGGGGGGGGGGAGTGGGGGTGGGGGTGGGGTGGGGAGGTGGGGGGTACATTCAGGAAGTCGTTTCGTTTCCAGAGTGCATGGGTTCCCCTGCTGCTCACAGGCAGCAACATGTACTTCTATTCTTTCCGATTTTCCACAGCTTCCAAACAACATCTTTTGCTCAATTGTGAGGGTTGTTGTTCCAACCACTACCCCCCCCCTCCCCCCCCCCCCACCCCCCCCCCCACCCCCTCCCCAATCCCCCACCTCACTCCACCACCCCTCTCCCTGTCTCTGTGCGTAGTAACTCTGCAATCAAATAAAAAGAAAGTTTGACCCGATCCAGTAGTGGGTAACGATCCCTCCCTCCCCTCCCTGCACACACACACTGTTTGCTAAACAGCTGAGAATTTCAACCCAACTCCCTCAGCTTTTTACGCACATTTTTCATCTGCACTTTCGAAATGGTTTGCAAATGCGTATTCGATACCAACTCTGCAGTTATTGAGCAGCTAAACGCCCCAGTTTTTTTTTTCCAGCTGCCCCCCCCCCACTGTATGACACTCTAGAGCGGGGTGTTTAATCGCATCAAGTGTTAGAAAAACCACACGAAGCCCTAAAAGAAAAGGGAAATTAAAACAACAGTGTGGGTATGATTTATAGTCCACGCTCCCACTCTGCTGGACAGTTGGTTCTAGCTGTAGGATATGTTTGCACAATTCTCCAAAATTTGCAGAAAATGCAGATTTTGTTTTAATGGGTATCCTAACAAACCAGATATCGCAGAGAAAAAAAACAAAAAAACATATGCACAAAAACTGCTTGCAACCTCGTGTCAAATGATGTTTGGGTATCAAAAAGTTAAGTAATTGCTAATCATTGCATTTGATATATACCCCCCCCCCCAAAAAAAAAACCTTTGAAACCCGTTCTTTCGTCTGAAATGTCGATGTCCCACGACGAATCCCACTTGTATGAGTTTAGCAAGTAAATGGTTCTGTGAAAAAGACCTACAAGAAAGAAGGACACCCGTCGCAAATACGGTCACTGCAGGTTACATGTTCGTAACATATAGGAAATCAGTGCAAAATGTAATGAACCCAATTGTGCTTTTCAAATAAACGTCCACGACGGTAAAAAAAAAAGTTGATTTATTTCGAGCAGGAATTTGTGAGCCACTTCAAATAACAAGCTGCATTTTTTTTTGTTGCATGGACTAGAAATGGATTTTGCATGATCTTTAAATGTTGGTGACTGCACTGAAGCTAAATGTGTTACAGAAGCTTGAGTTACACCCGCAGTGGAACAAGAAGGTGGTGTCATCGGAAACGTATCCCAAAAGTAACGGGAATGAGCAACCGCCGAGTGGAGGGGGAAAAAAAAAAAGGAACACCCGTTTCACTTAAAAGTCGATTAAAAAGCCAAACGCGATTTTCTTTTGCATCGAGAGAGAGAGAGAGAGAGAGAGAGAGTTAGTTTATTGCAAACTTGCAGGGGAACCGTTTGCGTTTGCAAACGTTTCGTTTCTTCTCGCACGTAAAGGCAATTAAGCGCAAAAAAAATTAGAACAATGTTCTGAGTGTAAATCACACACACAAGTTATTCCTTTAATTACACTTGACTGGGTCGGGCTGGAAACTGGGAGAGCTCTCCTTGCACTGTGAAAAGGAATCCGAACAAGTAATCGTCGGGGCATAATACGCCTTACGCCGATGCCCATGTGGGAGGAAAGGAAAATAAACCGATTGGAAAAGGAAGACCACGCAAACCTCGAGAGCTGTGTTGCTTCTCTCTCTCTCTCTTTCTCTCTCTCTCTCTTGTTTTACGCGTGGAAAAAAAGTACCACGTTGCAACAGGACAAGACTGGACCGGGTGGAGTGGAGTGGGGAACAGGTTACTTTCTGCACTCAAGTTTATCATTGATAAATTCTCTTGTGATTATTATCTACGAGAAGGCGTATCGCCGGCATCACCCGAGTGTGCAGTGCAGATCGATAGTGCGGGCACTTCGTATCATTCAGATACAACCCCATGTTAACGCGAGGCATCTCTGGTTTTGTTGCAATGCTTAACACAAATATTTAATTTATAAAAAAAAGAGAGATTTGGGGAAATCTGCATTGAACGTGTGCCTTGATGCCTGGGAGATGGTGTTAGATAATTTGCATGCTCTTACCCAGACTGTGACTACATGTATTAATAATAATAATAATAATAATAAGTCACCCCTTATTGATTGCTTCCCCCCCCCCTCCCTGTGGTGCATTAATGTCAGATCTAATATTTTATTCCCTTGTTTGTTTGTTTGTCTGTTTCTCTTTTCAAGTAACACTGTCTTTAATTCCTGTGCAGGAGACGTATTCGTTGAAAAATAAAAATCAAATAAAAATCAAATGAAGAAAAAAATGCACGCTCGCCCAGCACAGTGAATTGGACCCCGTTATTATTATTATTATTCTTATCATCATCAGCAGCAGATGATCACTTTGCACGCGGGACAGATATATTTAAAAAAAATGTTAGCTCACATTTAAGCCTCGTGTTTTGGATTGGGGATGAAATGGCTCGGGCTGATGGTGGGTAACATGTCCCCCCTGCTGGCATATCAGTGGATTACAGCATAGCTCGGTCGATGCCTTGATTCAATGGGGTTTAATTTGCACAGCAAGGCTTGCCCTACTGAATGCACAACCCAAGAACTCATCCCCAATCCAATCCCAGTGAGTCTCAAAATATAATCCGCCAACTCAGTCAAGGAGAATAGAGATCGAAAGAAACACAGTCAATCTCTCAACAGACTCACCCGCACTAATTCCCGCACCAGTTCCAGCCAGGCTCCACTGGCTCCCTCACACTCAAGGTCTGAAGATACTCACGCTCCTTCTCAAGTCGCTTCTTGCCTTGGCATCTCCCGACCTCTCCGACCTGCTTACCTCCCCAACCCACTACCATTACCTCCGCTTGACTGGCTCCAGCCTTCTGCATGTCCCTCATGTCCTCTGTTCCACCATCGGTGGCTATACTTCCAGCCGCTATGCGCCCAAACTCTGGAACACTCTTCCTCTATCTCTTCATCTTGCCCCTTCCTTCACGCCCGAAGACCTTACTCTTCGACCGTGCCTATGGTCACCTGTCCCTCGGAGACATGCTCTGCCACTGTCAAGTGCTCTGGGTCATTACCCTGCAATGAGGGGCGCCATATAAATGCAAGTTGTTGTTGCTGTAGTGTCAGAGACATAAGGGCAGTTGGCTGGTGCTGCGTTGTTCATAGGGCAGCAGATGATTCTATGTTGCTTATGTCAATATTAAAACTCATCAAAATCTCTTCATATTTCCCTGCAAGTATATGTTCAAAATCAAATTATATTTCCATTAGTACATGAATCTAACAAATGTCACGTATGCATATTAGGTGTTTTATTGTGTCTCTTCAGTTTATTGGGAAAATGGGAAAGGCAAATGTTTGTTAGATCGCTGTTGAGGAAACTCTGAGAGTTGGGGCGACAACTGCTGGAAGGTGTTACCTGGAGTCCGAGTTCGTGAACACGCATTCGTACATCCAGAGCCTGAAATCCACCTTGATTGGTTTGCAGAGAGATAAGTATGATGGCAGTACTCACATGCATCCCATGCTCAGCCGTGTGTGTGAGTTCCTATTCCCTACCATCCACCTAGTGAGGGCTCAAACACACGCTTGTTGGATGTCAAATGACCAACCAGTGATTATCCTGGTAGGAAGGGAGTAAGTGAGGTCTTATTGGAGCTGAACTTTAGGTCCTTCACAGGAAGATCTTTTATTCTTTGTGGGTGAGTTCAGATGAAACAAAGATATTTCCTTTAGAGTAGATTTATGCGTGACGTATAGAGCATGATATGCAATCTGCAAAAGTTTAACGTTTGCAAATACAAACTAAAACAATTGCAAGCAAAGAAACCTGAAATTGAATCCATTGCAAGGTGACCAAATGATACAACAATATTTCAAAATTTTAAACAGGTACATTGAGCGATTCAGCTTATTTCTGGAATATTATTAATATTAATAGAAAAGGGAACCTGAGTCGCAGGCTGTTGATACAAATCAAACACAAATACCTTCTGATATCTGCCTTGGAAATGTGCTCGATTTTCTTAAATCATTCCAGAATGATCCCAGGTCATCACAATCCTCTTAATTTTTTTTAAATTGTAAAATTATTGACAATTGGAAGTTCATTTTATCAAGCAAATTGCTCATTGACAGACTCCAACTGAAACATACTAAGTACTAAATATGTTTTATC